TTGGGGATTTTTTTTTTCCAAATGGGGAATTGAGGCATGGATTTGCTCAATGTCATACAGAAGATCCGTGGAGCTGGAAATTGAACCTGCCAGTATGGCAGTCTGGGCTATAAAACTAGCTGCTGAGCCATTAATGTTACACTTCTTGTCAGATGTTAGACACTTGATCACATGTTCAAATGATCTTGTGTACCAGGAGTCGGCATACATTCTAGAAAAAAATAGAGAATTTGTCCATTAGTGCAAATATCATTCTTGCTTTTGGCAGCCTTTTTTTTTTTTTTTCTTGTGCACAGATCAGTCCTGCTTAATACTTTCCTGTCAATTTTAGCAATCTCGCATCAAACTATTTGTAAAAGCTCAGGATTTTAGTTGAAATGTACTGACAGATATGTCAGTGTTATGTCAGCACTGAGGCTGATAATGTTAAAATTGTGATTAAATAGCCTAGCATAGCAAAAGAGGAAGACATTTCTTGTTTTGTCAGGCAAAAAGCTTACACGCCTCGTTGCAGTAGGAAAAAACTATAGCAAGAATTGGTAGTGAAGAGTTGAGGGGGAGCAGGGAATTTGGTCCCAATATAATGAGTGGAACATGGCAGAACATAGTCTTTGTTATTTACTGTTTTCTGTAACCGCCAGTTTCTTTCCATGGTGTTTTGTGTTAAGCTTGCTTCTGTCCTGGTACCTTGTGGTACAGTGACACTTCGTAGGATGGAGCCGATAGGGAGAAAAAAAAAAAAGTGAAATGCTAGCAGTTAAGTTCTGCAAAAATATTTGTTAATACTGATTCCACCCCTCACCCATCCAACTGGGAAGAGAGCTCCATGTTTAATGCATATTGGTATTATGTATAATTCAGAATAGAGAAAAAACTAGTTTGGAATACCAAGGGGTAAAATATTTATAAAATAATGGCACAGAAAGTCCTCCAAGTTAAGGGGTGCTTAGGAAACTTGAAGTCAGTTGAATTGATTTCAGTAACTGGAAGAATGTAGCAAAGAAAATACCTGTACTTAGTAGCATTAGAACTCGCTGCAAGGGGCATCCTGAACCACTGAGTCACAGACAGCCATTTACCCGTGATTTCTAAAATAAATAAATAAATTCCACTCCAAACCCTCACGTACAGCAACTCATATATCTGGTTTTATGCCTTGTAAGCATGCTGCAGGTAACAAGCAGAGTGAGAGGAAGGGACAGTCGGTACCCTGCCACTGTGATAGCAGAGGACCAATTGTCCATAATACAAGTTCAGAGGATCCTAGGGATAGGACTGTACCCTTTAATATTACTGAGAAAAACAAATATTTCCCTGGTCCTTTCCAATTAGACCTGGGTGGAAAATCCCTTCTTTACCCCAGATTGGGTAATTAGCGTGACCCTAAGCAGAACAGCATAATCCTTTAGTTGGGGATTTCTGAGTTTTCTGAGTACCTGTAGGAGCATCAAGGTACCCCAGTCAAAACCCCTGAACTTAGCTGTGGTCACTGCTTCAGAGGAACAGGTGATGAAGATGAAGTCCCCCACCCACACCCTTATATTTATTTCTAGAGGTTTGATTAAGAAAATTTAGCATACGCTTACAGCTATGATATAGCAATATGTGAACTACACAAGTTCACATAATTCACAGATTATTAGCAGTATAACTATGGCTACCTCTTGTGTATATATCCGTTATTTACAATTTTTGTTATTTACCTGGTATACCATTATTAATTCAGTCTTAGGTTAAAGCTTTCTAGCAAACTGTTTATACTTTTTTGTTGCTTAACCTGAATTGCATATTTTTGTATTTGCTTAGCTTGGCATGTTGCTTCATTTAATGTACTGCTGATGTACCATTTGTAATGCTTATCAGCTTCACGTTGTGGTTATTTAGAGTTTTAAGATGACTTCAGGCCTATTGCTTAGCTGCACTTCTACAGCCTTGCTTAGGCCATTAAAGTGACTGACATTGGTGACACTGAAGATGTGAGACCAGCCATTGTCAGGCAAAATACAACACTGAATGCTGTGATCCAGTATGGAAGTCTTTTATGTTCAGTAGTAATTTGGTTTATATAATATTTCCACTTAGGACTTGGTAGAGTGAAACTGTTAAGCTGAACTCCTGCTCATCTCAAAACTGAAATTTCTTACTGCATGGCCCATTGTAAAAGACTGCTAGAAAGAGAAGTTTATGAGAGAGTTTAGTGTTTTCTTCACAACCCCCTGCAAGATATATTCTGCTTTACTGTAGTTCTTGGGTGTCAAACTCATTAGGCCCTGCGGACCAGATGAATCGCTTAGTACCAGTCCCTGGGCTGGATTAATGACGTGAGACTGGCCCTGCGGGCTGAGCTGGGTAGTCAGATCTAGGGCCTGGCCTGGCCTGGATCAGCTTATTGTGGGTTCCATATGAAGTGCATGGAGATAATCCAGCGCACATTGCATTTGGGTCAACCCCAAGACCCACGGGCTCCACTGTGGGCCAGGTGATGGGGTCCTTTGGTTCATATCTTTGATACCCCTGCTGTCGCTCAAATAAAGCTGACATAGCGTCCAGATGAATGCATAGCAAATCTCCAGTTCTGAGTTTGGCTCCATGTATGTCAGGTAGAAGCATAATCCTTCTCCCATGCTTTGAATATGGAGATGCAATAGTTGCACATTCTCAGATAAGGATGTGCAAGTCGGTGTAATCAGAAACCAGTGGCATTTCCCTGGTCCTGCATCTTGTATCCAGATTGCCCAAATATTTTTCTTCTAAGCAAGTGATACTTTACGTTTAAGGAGGCTGTTCGGTCACGGGAACAGAACTACCGGGTCTGAGCCTGTCATACCTAATTGCTACATAGAGGGCTACGACCAAGTGACTGACCAGACCGCGGAACAATCCTGAATGACAAGTGACTGCTAGAATTCGGGGAGCTCCAGAGGTGGTTTAAGAGCGGCCAGGAATTGTTTGCCTAGCAACTGCAGCCTTGCCAATCTAATGCATTTCAGAACCATTATCATAGATCATGTTGCTACTTAGAGCAGTAATGTAGATTAACGGGGATATTCTAATGGATCTCAGGTCACTTCCCACCACCTCTGTTTACATGCTTATATTTTTAATAACGTTGTCTGAAAAAAGTCGTAGGTGTCCAAAACGCTCAGGATTTCTTTCCTAAGTAAAGTATGCACAAATTTCCTTTCCAGACTAGTTCACATTATAGAGGAGCGGCCTAGATTTCAATATTTATCTGAAACCTATTTAAGGGACACTCTTAACTACTTTTCTTCATAAAGTATTTCAGTATGGATTTTGTTTAATAGATTCAGTTATAACACTCTGATTTCATAGGAATGGTTGAAATGGAACATTTTTCTGCAGCTTAGAGATGCCTCCATTAAAATCTTCATATATTTAAAAAAATGTATGTTCAGCAGACCTAGGGGTTTCCACACCTTGTTCTAGAAACTCATTTAAGAAAATGACATTTCTGAAGCTGTTGTAACTGGCTGCCTATTCAGGCCACAGTACTTTGTTGCCAGCTCGCAGAGCAGCAGCAAAGAAGCAGTGAAACTGCTCCTTTTTCCACCCACATACCACCATAATATTGTTGTTGAAGTAAAACTCTTCTGTGTTGATGTGATTTTAAAGAAGCTAGCTCAACTGTGCTATGTTTTGATGTCAAGTCTTTCAAAGTCGCTTGACTCTGTCCTTATGCATAAACCTAGGTGCATCTTTTAATGCTGTTAAAGGTATGTTAGTATAATTCTTTGTTTCTAATGTAAACTCCTAAAATATGAACAAAGAACAACTTGGTACACACAGGTGGAGGACAGGAGTCCTTTACTTTCCTGCAAAAGCAAGAAAATAAACATTTTTTAAAAGATGTTGACGGGCACTACATTATGGGAAGATGAATTATTCTCTAGAGCAGGGGTGGGCAGTTATTTTGAGCAGAGGGCCGCTTACTGAGTTTTGGCAAGCCATCAAGGGCCACATGACAGGCAGCCAGGGGTAGATAAATATTAATTCTCTAAATTTTTTAGGGGCTCTACGGGCCGGATAGAATGGCCTGGCAGTCCACATGGCAGCCCATGGGCTGCATTTTGCCCACCCCTGCTCTAGAGGAATCTGCAGACTATATTACCTTGTGGTGGAAAAATATAATCCAGTACTCCATCGATTGTCATAAGGCGGCAGACTTGCTTCTTGTTTTACAACCCTTTAAGAATATTCCCCCGTTTTTGGCATTTTGTAACTGTGTTAAAAATAATAATACTTTATTATTAATAATAGTTTATACAAATATAAGTTAGTTTTTATCAAGCATTTTATTTTATCATGACAGTCCCTTTGTAGATGAAAAGCCAAAAGCTTTGGAATACTCCTAGAATTTGCAAAAGTATGGAGAGTTGGTTGAGGAATTAATTATCTTCACCTTTTTGTTGTTTATCTTTCAATTGTTGCGGCATCTCACTGCAATGAAAAGGATTTTCTTGCATTGAAATAGTAACTTTTTGATGTTTCATATTGTATAAAGGTTTAAATAGTATGTGGTTTTTGTGCTCTTTTCTCCTTGCTAGAAATATAATAGAATGTAAATTCTGCCTTTCTCAATTTGCTGTAGGATTGCTGCTTTGGGGAGGGAGGTGGGGGCTTAACCTCAGGAGAGGTGTATTGTGAGTTTTCACACCTTTGTTGCAGAGGTGGGGGTGTTTTGATTACTTAAGACATCTTCTCTTTGAAACGTTCATTAGGCATTCAAGTTGTAGATGTTACCAAAACCATGGTTTAAATAATGTAAAAATCGTACTTGCTCAGTCTTGTCTCCTGCATTGTCATAACTTCACTGGTTCAATTTATAAGGGTTGGCAATGGGTGTGACTAAATTAAAAAGTATATTTAGAGGTTTTATACACTTTCTTCTTTTACAGTTCAGTAGAGCTTTTCATTTTGATTTACTCATATGAAGGCTTGCCAGTTTGCACTAATTCTTGTCTTGATTTATTTTCATGAAGGTTAAATTTGGTGGAGACCTTTGTGGTAGACACAGAGCTACGGCAGTCCCTTCAAGAAGACCTTCTGCGTCGTTTTCCAGACCTCAATCGGCTAGCAAAGAAATTTCAGAGACAAGCTGCAACCTTGCAAGATTGTTACCGAATGTATCAAGCTATTAACCAGCTGCCTAATGTTGTTCAGGCACTGGAAAAACATGAAGGTAACATGCGTCCCACCTTTAAGTGTTTTATTTTATGATATATTGATAACATCAAGAAGTAGTAGGTGGTTTTCTAAATATGGCTGCCCTCCAGTCTGTTTGAGAGTAGAAGGTCTCTTAAAGGGAATTTAAAATGCGTTGCAATTCTGTAATGCCAGATAGGTACTTTGAAATTAATTTAGAAAAGTCAATTAAAAAAAAGTGTCCCAATTACAATGTAAGCTAGAATTCTGCTAATATATTTTGTAGCTATCAGGTAGCTAGGATGGAGAATTTTCAGTTTTTTGTCTTCCAAGGAAAAAAACAATAAGACTGTCTGTAGAATCCTTAGTAAAATTTTATAGATATAAGCAAGTTATGCCATAATTTTTACTAGAAAAGTACTGCTGCCAAACTCACTATGGTTAGCGTATTATTGCTTTTTGCTTTTTGAAGGAAACTTTGTAAATATTATCTTATTCAAATGCCAAACTTAACTCACAAAGTCTTAAAATGTTGGGAGCAAAACTGGGAATGCTTTTTTTCTGCTTGTTGTTGTTGTTGTTGTTGTGTTGTTGGAAACGGAATCATAGATTCAACCAAAAACAGAGCTGGAGCTAGAGAACCCCTTGAGGTCTGTTGAGGTCTTTTCAGTCCCTTGCTTAGATGAGAATTATGCTCATCTAAGCCATCCCATACAAACATTTGTTTAACCTGCACTCAAAACAAACAAACAAACCCTTCTGGTGAGACTTGCATCCTTTTTAGATAGAGGTGCACCGATACATTTGGTCCGATATTGGAACGGTACCGATATAAAGAAAATTGTCTATATTAGATATGAGCCCGATGGGGCCAATAATTTGGCTGATAAATGCCCGTGCTGCATTGGAAGGGGAGGGTGGAGGGAAGGGAATATGGGGGGCAGATCAATGCCCATACGGTGAGGGAAGGAGGGGGCAGAGTCAGGCACTGCCCAGGAGCGGGCTGAGACGGGGGTGGTGGGACGGAGATGCGGCTCGTGGGGTTGGGGCAGCTCCTACCACTGCTTGCAGCCACGCCAGATTTTGCTGTGCCACTGCCCAGCCCCAGCTGAACGCCCCACCTCCACCCAAGCGCCAGGAAAAGCCAGGGCAGTGTGGGGCTAGGAGTGGTGCTGTGGTGAAATTGGGGGTGGCTGCAGCCTCCTTCCAGCACTGCTGGAGCCCTCCCTGAGCCCAGCCTCCAGTAAGAAAAGGTCCATGCAGTGCCGGCTCCATGCTGCAGCCCGCACTGTACTGCACAGATGTAGGGGCATATGCCCGTCCGTCTCTGCCATGCCCCCCACCTTCCCAGGATCCAAGCAGCAGCAGGAGCTGTCTCCACCCTGTGAGCTGTGCCTCCATCCCGCACCCCTTCCTCTCCCCAGCTGGGCAGTGCCTGCCCCTGCCTCTTCCTTCACCACGGAGGGGGGATGATGTTGATCTGCTCCCCCCACACTCCTTCCCTCTCCTTTCACCACACCGGACTTACCACCTGATGGCAGCTGTATTGGATATCAGATCAGTATTGGCCGATATGCCTCCTTAAATATCAGCTGTCAGTATCAGCCCCAAACCTTCTATTGGTGTACCCCTATTTCTAGATGATCTATTTCAGTGTTTAAGCATCTTGTGAGTTAGAAAGTTCTTCCTAATATTTATCCTAAATCTAATTTGCAGTATAAACCCCGTGTTTCTTGTCCTGTATCCCTTTGACAAGGAAAGCAATTCATCCCCATTCTTTCTCAAATTTGAAGACTTACCAAATTCCTTTCAGTCTTGTCTTGTCTTCTCTTGACTAAATAGAGAAGCTCCTTTCTTCCAATTTTCCTCCTGTCATGTTTTATGAACCTCTAATCATTTTTGTTCCTCTTCAGTTTGGCCACATCTTTCTTGCCAAAAGTCTCACAGGATACTTATGGTGAGGCCTCACCAATACTTGATGAGTGTGGAAAAATCACTTTGTGAGACTTTTATGCAACACTCTTGTTCATATATTCCAGTGTGCTCTTATCCTTTTTTGAGATGCTGTTGCAGCATTGACTTATATTTAGTTTAGCTAATCCTTTATCATCCAAGTGCTTTTCTGCCTAGTCTGTTATTCCCCCTTGTGTATTTGTGCATTTGATTGCTCCTTCCTAATTGTGGTACTTTGCACTTGCCCCAGTTGAATTTCATCCTATTTCAGACATTAGAAGAAAAAATAATTTAGGGCTGCGTACACGCATTGAGATAATCTGGAAGAATTCTCCCAGGTTTGTTCTCTTGGTAGAAAAATTTACCCTGAGCCACATGTACAAACCATGCTGCTTGTATTAAAAGGTTGTGTGGTTGCATTTTGGAGCGTGCCTGGGGACTCAGTCAGGATCTCTCTCAGGTGTGCTCCTTCAAGTAGCTCTGGCCATTCCTAAACTGTTCTGACAGTTTTCATTGTGGTGCACTATGTTTCAGTGGTGATCTTGGAGTACTGCAGAGGAGCAGTAGACATACTGTCAACTGTTTTGTTTTGGTTTATTGAGCTAGCAAGGGACATGGAAGGCATGGATTCTTCTATTTAAGTGTATAGTGACGGGACTGAAAAAGGCTTTTCTTCACTTGCCTGGAGTATGCATTTATCTAAATGCCATTTAAATGGTACTCATAAAGAACACTGCCCTTAGGGCTGCTCATAGCACAGCACTTGAAACTGATATGGGCCCCTTATTTTCAAGGCTTCTAATAGCCTGTTTTGGGGTTGCTGTTAGAAGCTTTGAATATGAGGCAAGATAACAGCCACGGTACTGAGAATGTCCCATCATTTTCAAGGCTTCTCATTCTTTGCTTTCCCATTCAGTCTCTCTGGTGCCCTTAAACGGAGTACATTCAGTTACCTAGTTGGCACATAAAGTTACTGCGCAGTTCATTGGAATATGATTAAGTTGCAGAGTGGGGCTGAAAGGTTGCATGTGCCCAAGCAGTTTGTATATTTAACAGATGCAGAAAGTAGTTGTCTAATATAATGTAAACAGTAGACAACAACTCGGGATTGGCTAATGCAGTTAAGTGAATGATGCACTTATTTGGGATGCATGTGTGGAATACACTATTTCCTTCATGCCTTGCCTTTTCTGTTTTTATCCCAGTATGCTCTTTCTCTTCCTTTTACTCTTACATATGTCCTTAGTACTTCTGCTTTTGTTAAAGCTGTCCCACATTTTAGGGGATAACAGCTGAGTATGTATTTTCTGATTCCTATTAAAAAGGAATCTTATAATGTTACTTCCAGCAGGTATTTAGAAGATGTGAATTTTGTATTTCTATTTGATTCAACTGAATGCATTTAATTCCCTAACTAAAAAATGTATTGCTGTTCCTTGATGAGAGAGAGAAAAATAGAGGAGATCGCTACACAACAAGGTATAGCGTTAGTATTAACTGGGAGATTTGCTTCTTGGTATTAGTCTAGCATGCAAGATGGTTCTTAACCTCCAAAAACTTCTGTCAACACTGAATTCTGGTTTTCTGTGTCACTGTAGGAAAGAACTGATTGAGCACATCAAAAGCTGACATTTGTTTCCTTTTAAAAAGTAAATATTAAAAAAAGTAAGGATTTTTTTTATCAGGAGCTCACTAAAAATGCCTTTACTAAAAAATAAGGTGTTACAAACTGGTAATGCAAAGCCATATTTGTATTTATGGAGGTATAATATGGAGGTACAAGGAATTTTTGGCAGAAATGTTAAGCGTAAAGTAATTTTTATCCCCCTGTTTTGGTTGCAAAAGTGTATAGTTTAGAAATGGGGAAATTGTGGACCACTCATAGGTTAAAACTTAATTCTCATAATGTCAGTTCAGGACTTTTATTTCAATCTCTCAGTTTTTCCATGCCTTGAGGGACACTGCTGAAGGACATAGAAGATAGTCATAGTAATTGACTAGGCATATTTAATTAAGAAAAAGAGAAGAAACAAATAGCAGGCAAGCATTAAGTGATGGCTACTTTGGCACAATCTCTTGCTATGTCTCATGGTGGAAAGCTTTCAGAAGTGGTCTACCATAGTACATTTAGTACCAGTACTTTTTTCCCCCTATTACAGAGTCAGATCTGTTTATCATGTGAGGGGAAGAGGGACAGGTAAGGACAATTTATTTAAAAATTGGCAAACCTACATACCATAGAGGAAGAGGTATGTGATCTAGCTAAAGCGTATAAACATGAATAAATATTTAACTTGGTTGCTTAAAAGAAGCCAGTGAAGTGCAGCTCATGTAACATAATGATACATACCCACCAACTTGCTTTAAGGAACAGCTTTGAAATGGCTATCTTGAAGTTTAAAAATCTTGAACTAAAATTAAATCTCATTCTTTTTCTGTTTACCAAGATTAGCTTTTATACTTCATATCCTTGCAGAGAAGTTATCTGGCATACAGTTGAAAAGGTTTTTAATATCTTAAACTTTGCTGAAAATCCTCTTCAAGAACAAACTAAATATGATTCTCAGTAATACTTTCACAAATTCCATCTTACCAATGGCATTGAGCTTGCTCTGATGTCATGTTTGCCAGTACAGTACTGGTTTGGCAGGCTGCTGCTGGATGCTGCTTTCTGGCTTCATGGGTCTTTGCTGAAGTTTGGAGGATATGAGATGATGAGTTGATGCTGAGCCAGTATTTTAATTTTGAAACTTCACTGAATGTGGAAGGTAAATCTTTCATAGGTCTTACAGGATCCAGCTATCAGCTACTGTCATCTTTTTTTATTGGCAGCACTTTCAATCCTCAGGCTGCCTTGGTAGAATCTTCTGCACATCAATATGCAGTTTCCTAAAGTATAGGCAGCAGGGTTAATTCTTTTAACTTTTGGATTATATTGTTTTTGCTTTATGGTAGAGATGTTTTCAGAAATGTTCTGAAGTTTATATCTTAATACTTTTTGATACAGCATGCTTTCTATTAGTCATAAAAAATACTATCTTAATCATTTAGTCTAGGGACAGAAGTTGCACATAAACCGGTTTA